TATCAGTTAGGTTATGAGATTAATGGTAGATATTTCCAGTAAATTTGAAGAAATTAAATAAAATGGGATAATGTTCAAATAAATTGGTTCAACAATGACGATTATTAATTATGATAATTGAATGGCAAAGACCCACGAGTAAGATTGATAAATAAGACTTAAAGTTTGAGAATTTTTCTTTTTCTTCCCGGAAGCGGGGACAAACGAAAGAGAGGCACAAAGACAGTCCGAAGAAACATTTAAAGTGTCCAGGCGGTACGACCTACACTTTCAGCGGGCATAAAAGACTTTCGAATTAAGAATTCCCTAGAACTTGGAATGGACTAGTATAAACAACTCCTCAAACTCTTCCGCCTGTTTCAAAAGAGTTTAATAAGTCGCTCGACGAATATTCGAGATAAAAAGTGTAATAAGTTTCTCCCCGGTTAGCCTTGTTCGATGGAATACTCTTATATTTTTGCCTCGTAACACACGCGCCCGTATAAATGAAATTGAAATGGTTCTAAATTAGGACGCAATTCGTAATGATTTAATCTTTAATTTTCTCGCATCGCAAACCTTAAAAATTGTAACGCTTGCCGTAAAATTTACATACAGAGAGAAAATTAAAATAAAAAAGTAACCTAAATCCACTACCAGTCAGGTTCTGCTATGATACGAAATGCCAGTAAAACGTAATATAGTTTAGATACCAATTCAGCCACTGCCTATTTTTTAAATAAAATCCATTAGGTTTACCTTTATCAGCGTAACTGTACTCGACAATTTTCAATACGAACGATTATATTATTCATCTGCCAACGGAAACCGTTGACTGCTTTCGAATTACGTTGCCGTAATTCCGTACGCAGCAACGATAACACAGTTACCTCTTCTGGCTTGGTTCTCGAAGTATAAAATCTCCATAAATTTAACGATTCCCGCTAACGAAACTTCCAACATGCTCTACAAAGTGTTTCCCACGAATTCTACGATATCCGTTCTTCGTCTACAAGAATAGACTCGCCGACACAACCGGTCTGTAATTAACGGGAAAAGTATTGACAAAAAGTTCAACGGCGTGAGCTGGATTTAATTAATAACCATCGAACATGGCCGCGCGCCGCCGTGGTGGCCCGTGCGATCTCCAAAAGAACACGGAATAATTTCGTCTCGGTAACCGCTTTTTCTAAATTAATTTCCGGCGGCTCGGTGTTTTCTGTCCTTGATATTTCCGACAATTTCCGGGACGAGGAACTCGATGGCCCTCCAGCGTGTCCCCAAAGCGACTTTTCATAGTTGGGACCGAATGGTACGTTGCTCCCGGTCGATACGAAATCACAAAGGTTAGGAACGCAATTCGACGGGACAAAGAGACTAGACCAAGTCTCGTTTTTTAAACTTCGTTCCGAAACCCTTAACTTCGCCTCTGTCGATAACGCGATTGAACACTGCCCTCTCGCGAAGAAATCTTTTCGTTGCATCGGTCCATCGAAACATGGAGGATGCCTATATTTTCGTACAAAATATGTATAAACGTAGTAATTCGTTTTATAATTGAAATTAATCTCGTTTGTTATGTACGTGCTAGAATTATTTGTTACGTTCGCTTGGCCTACTATTTCGTTTAAATTTTGGTCAAGCAGGTTAAGCCCGTTGCATGTACAATATATGTACATAAAGGATACCTTTATAGTTGCATGTAATTACAGTGATTCAAACAGAATCGATCGTTACTAGGTTAAAATGGTAATTGCGCCAGTACTACAATTTCATGAACTATGAATTTATGTGTATAAATGTGAATTTTAATACAATGAGTAGTGTTACGCTAAATTTACAGATATTAATTTAATGTATTATTTCTTGGTTATTCAATGTGACTATATATACTTCACACCGTCACGGTGTAAAGATTCAATTAGAACGAACAAAGATCGACTACGATATCATCTTTATAAAAAGAATGAAACTGGTTTCAACGAATTCTGTTAGGCGACACTGTGTGTCTCGCTACAATCGCGAATAGTTTTCACGCATCGACCCGAAGGAGAAATATCCGGTGACAAATAAGACGAACGAACACTTTTACAATTTTTTTTATTTCTGTCGCCCTAATACACTAAAGGCGGTGTTTACCGTTCATTGCAGTAAAGAATAAGTTTTCAATTTTACTCGTTATAAACCAAAACCAAAAAATAAATAATTTGTCAAAAAAAGATGAGTGATCTCGTTGTGACAGAAGAATAACATGCAGCGTAAATGTAGAGGATCATGTTCATGGAAGTTTGATACATATTACACATGCCACTAGCTCATTTTTAATCGTAACGTTGCGAGTCCGGTAATTCGTATTCCCATTAAACGACGCGGCAGTTCCGAGAATATCAAGCAATTAAATCACCGGGTTTAATTAAATCAGCAACTCAATCAACATAATTTCTTACGTTCACGCGTGATACTAAAATTATCTCGATATTCGCGGCGAAGCGTCACAGAAAATTTCGATCAATGACAATCACTACTCTCCTGTATCGCACGTTCAATGACTAAAGAAGCTCGCGCGTGTGACAGAGGCAAGCGATTATAAACAACACGAATGGCGTGTTTAGAAACGCGCTAATACAGGTCGCCTTCTAACCTAATCGAACCTATCCGTATGATTTCCCGACACGCTCTGGAACGAAACGTCGCGTGTGGCGAATCAATTGAATCATCTTGAATCGATTGAAAGGGACCACTTCGAACGGATTACTACCATTGTATTTCAGCACAATTGCCGAACGATTAAATGCAAGTCTATCGTTAGACGCGTGTGAAACGAGCCACGCATAAATCACTGAGCGTGTCATACGTCGTTTCTGTCAATCGAATTTCGGGGTCGTAAACGTTTTACGTATAATTGAAAGGAAAAACTTGTACTGCCGAAAAAAATCTACGAGTGTATCGGTTAAGGTGGAAAGTTCGCCGCGGAGGATGTTGTCTGTTAAAAACAATTGACTATGATTTAAGACGAAAATGGGGTCACGTAGATCCGAGTGGAACGAGAGAATCGACACGACCGCGGTACGCGTGTACCGAGAAAATTCGATCGACTTATCGAAGGGTTGCTACCCGGGCCACTGTGTTACCAAGATCATAATGAAAGAAACTTGATTGGAATTACTCACCCCTATGGCTAGATCCACTGTACTCGTTTGTTAGCTGCCGTTTGTAACAGGTATCCCCGGACTAAGAATCACGAAATGTCACGAAAGAACGAAACCATACCTCCGACGATGACTCCAGCACGAAGTCTGGCGAGCGACTGTTGCGTCCCGGTTTGTTCACGGACTCCCCTGCACACGCCGGCTTGCGCTTCTCCGCGCGTAAACGTCAATGCGAATGCTCTGTAGCATCAGCCCACCTTTGCAACACCTTTCGTGCACCTTCGGTACCCCCGGCTACGTCGCGATGGGATTCATTTGTAAATAAAGACAGTCCCACGAGCTGGCTTTTTGTTACCATTTTCTGACTGGCGACGGAGTTCCTTTGTCGTCGATGAATATGTGTATATTCCATACGTCGGACAATTTTGCACAACAGAGAATCGTTTCATTCACAACGTAGGTGAACTTTCAATGTTTTAGAAAAGGTGAAAAGAATATATTGAAATACATATTTATAAAGAAATAAATCCTTTTTTATCAATAAATTTTTTTTTATGGTAAAATTGTTTAAACATTGTTTTATACTGTAAAATAAAAAAAAACTACCGTAATTGTGTACTGAAATTTACTTTCTTAAAATAAGGGATTAAGAACTGTGAAATATTTTTTTCTGTTACGTAGTTGTTTCATGGTACAGTGACCGTTCCAAGTGCTACGAAAATCGTAATATTTGTTTGCCACTGTCACAGAATTAATTAGCATCTGGCTCACGAACCCGAGTTCGCACCTGGTAAAACCCGAGTACATATGTGGTGCACGCAACTAAAATTGAAGATTAATAATTCCAATGTTGCCTTCTTTTTACTCTAGAGAAGAAAAATTGTACTACTACTCCCACAAGCTTATGTTTAGTAGGTACTATAATAGAATATATGTATATTATTACCCTCATGGAAGGTGTTTCTATTTAGACCATTGATCGATTTAGATTGTTCCGTGAGAATAAGCTAGCGTAACGAAATTCTGGGAGGCGAGATTCAATCGATTGACCATCAACATGAAGAAATTGCGACGAAGTTTTCACGTTCGCGCCTAATTTTGCCGCCTGTACTGCATTTCCTGTATTTTCTCTCCTTCCACTTCCGCTTCGCTAACCCCCATTCGATGGAAGCGCTATGAAAGCACAATACATGCTGATCAAATACTCTCCACCAATGGCGTTTCTGCGCAAGACAGCCTAGGATCGACACGCTAAGATAGTCGTAACAATTTCGGACAGTTTGTGCCTCGTTTTAACGCCATTATGGATTCGTTAGCAAATTATGCTAGTGACGGGGACAATAGTAATAATTCGGAAGATCCAAAGGTGAGTATGTGCCTGTTCAGAAACGTCGTAATATTTCGCAATTATTTCGCCCATGGCACATCCTTGCCTCGGCATCCATGACGCTCAAGAAACTTTCTAGTATACACACTCGACATGGCTTCTGGGATAGGTTCTCGAGCCAGTGGACAATTCTTCGATTATTAACCAATACATTTTTTATTTTCCAAAGTTCACTTCGAGAAATTAATGTAGTTTCTCGTTGTTAATAACTTCTATTTGGCTCTAAAATTGACATAAACCTGTGAAGCAAACACATTTTAATTAATGTAATCTTTATATTCAATTTATTTTACTTTTATGCAATGTTTATTTCTCAAACCATGGTACTTAAATTTCAACTGATATTTTAAGCTACATTTTTCTGTTAGAATTACTGTTAATTTGTTATTAACAGTAAACTTTTAATATTGGTACTATGTGAGAAATTTGTGGCTTGTGAATTATTTAGTGCTTTATCATGAACATTATGTTCAAAGATACCATATGGGATACATGGTGATACCAGTAAGAGGGCCAGTGATGCTAACTACGACCCGGTGCAAATGGATATGAGTGAGGTACAGTGAAATTGAATGTTTGCAAATGCTTGTTTATAGTATTAAGTATGAAATGTTACAACAATTAATAGGAAGATGTGGTGTCTATGGGGGCTGTATGTACATGTAGGATCATATGCCTGATATATAAAAAAAGAAAGGTTTAGTACTTGGTTTTTACAGGTCATGTCAAAATCACCATTTATCAAATGCAATTTCACAATAGCACTTTTACTGCACCTATTTTGTACCAAACATCCAAAAGGAAAAATTTGTAGAAAAAGATTGTTTCATAGTGGTTTTATATGAATTGAAATAATTTTAAATAATTATTTCTTATTTATTAAAACACTATGTAGATACAACACAATGTATATAATACAATGATAACATGTTTTGTTAAATTTATTACCTTTGCTTTAGCGTTTATAGCAGTATAGTGAAATCATTGTATTATGTACATTATATCACTATGACTCAATGCACTCTTATCTTTTATTATTTTTACATCATCTTTTGATATATTATGACAATATCAAAATATAATTCATAAGATTAAAAATTGAAAAAGAAGTGTAAGACATGACCTTAAAGCTTGAATTATGGCAATCACTATGAGGGTAGAAATTCAGATATTTAAAATTTAAATAATAAGTAAATGGGAATAGTGCCATTTCGTGAGAAAATATTAACACGTAGCTCTGTTGGTAATACATGATACAATATCTACGCACCTCGGCAAGGTCTATGCTGTGTGAGGGTCTTTCAAGACTACCCCAAGTCCTATTCAGAAGACAGAGGTGAGTAGAGAAAGCTGGAAGAAGGTAACACTAACAAAAAATCAACCATCAAAGAAACCACATGTACAAGCATATTCGGGTAATATATAACTAACTGCTAATGCAGAAAAATATGAAGGGCCCTCATGTTCCTATTTCATTTTAATTCTATTCATCTACCAGATATTTGACTGGGATGAAATGATTTATAATAAAATTTGCAGTGAACAAAAATTTCCACCTTATAAAAACTTTTGTATCAAGTACAGCCAAGGATGTGAGAAAACCGAATTTAATTTTGTGAAAATTATTAGTGTTAAGAGTGTTCTCTTTTTATGTGCTTATAATATTAGGATGTAGTCACTTTTATATGGTTATTACAATTGTTGCAAAATTCAAACTTTACGTACACTGAATTTTGTGAATTATTCTTTCTTTTGTAACAATTACAGGCTCAAAGTATGTAATGCTGTTATTATAAATAATTGATCGAAATAGATTACAAAATAACAGTGGGTGAAAAATTGATTTTTGCTAAACTGAGGGTACTAGAAACAAAGAAAAATAAATATTTATGATTTATAATATAGTTCTTGTAATGTAAATTGAAATTTATGTTTCACTTAATAGAATGTGTGAAAGGTGCATAGTAACGTGGAAAATTTTTCTTTCTTTAGGAAAGCAACAACAACAATTCATCCAGGGAATCCAGTAGCGAAAGGGCACACAGTCCAGTGACACAAACAAAGACAGACTCATCCCGAACATTACCTTCCCCCTCAGACCAGAGGTAAGCTGGTTTGTTTATAAGTATATGGTCCTCTGAACTTACAGTAATACGTTTCTTTGCATTTTATAAGAGAAAAAAAAAACTTGCAACATACTTACCACATATAATATGTCCCTTACATGCAGAATAATAATACGAATCTGTGTGGTATACCCTGCAGAACGTAATCGTTTTACAGGAGATCTGATCATGAGAATCATACAGCAAATTCAAAAGACGAGCACAAACGAGGAGACAGATCTGACCGTAATAGACATATGAGCGACAAGGGACGGCGGTCATCGTACGATGATAGAAGACAACGAGAGAGCGGTCATAGAGATAGAGATATAAAGAGGAGTCGAGACGATGACAGAAAGTCTCGTGATGATGATAAAAAGAAGGAGAAAAGTTCTTCTTTGGGATCTAGTAGGGACGAAAAGAGTGACGACAGAGATCAAAAGAGCGACAAGGATCATCACTATCGCGATGATCGAAGGGATCGAAATCGCGACAGAAATGACAGAGATAGGCGTAGGGACAGGGACAGGGATCGAGATCGTAGGCATTCTAGGGACGATAGATCGAAAGATCGATATCGAGAGGATCGGGCGAATTATCACAAAGAGAAGGATCGCGCGAGATCGAGATCGAGATCGAGAGATCGCGCACCTCCGCCTTTCCGAACGATGAGTTACAGGGAAGAGAAAGGCAGAAACAAGTTAGCTCAATTGGAAAAATTAGGAATTGAACTTAAAGCTCCGGAAGGAGACACCGCGACGCCTGGGGTTCAGAATGAACAAAATTATTATAATCCTTTGGCTACAGCAACACAAGGAAAATATGCGGAACAGATACAGAAGAGGAAACTCTTATGGGCAAACAAGGTAATAATTACTTTTAATACCGATTTTCGTTTGTTAAAATAGAAAATTTTTTTAAATTATATTAGTCGTACAATTGAAATTTATAGTCGAAACAAGACGAAGGCAAAACGTCCACGGCAGCTTCCACTGCGAACACTTGGGTAGGTACAACATTCACCCACGACCAAGATGGAAAAGTAACGGCAAAGTTTAAACGATTGATGGGCATTAAGGACGATTTGCCGACTGCCCCACCTGCAGGTGCTAAACCAGATATATTAAAAAAACAGGAAGAAATGTTTAACAACATGGAGCAACAGTATGAAGTAGCACGTGCTACCACACACACTCAACGTGGCGTTGGACTTGGTTACGCCACTGGTGGCTATCAATTTCCTCGATAAAATGCAAGAAACCGTTTTGAACAATTACGATTAACAAATACCCAGTACAGGTGCAACACGATTTTTGTCTGTTGATTTTGCAATGTTGCCAGGTCGATTGCAAAACGGAGTTTTACATTTCATAGTCGTTATAAATAGTGACTATAGAGTAATCGTTAAGCTTATGAGATCCGAAAGATCTTGTTAGAGTTATGTAATTATATTGTAAACAGTAAAGAATAAATTTATTAAGACTCTGGAAATGACCCGGTGCTTTCGACTTGACAACGACCATCTCAGATTATTTTCTGTTCACGGAAGAAAATTGGAGAGAGGATGATTTTTTTATGCTACAAATGTGCTTATAAGATCATTTATATAATAATTTCATTGTATCTATACGCTGTGTGTACAAATACATAAGTACATTGACACGATTGATGGTTCTTTCTTTCTTTTTTTCTTTTTTTTTTTAAATAAACATTCTGAAATGATGTGTAGTTTTTCTTTATTTCCCTTATATGTATTTCCCGTTAGTTAAATATAATATTACGACATATAAATTAATTGATATTGACCGATTAATCCTGGTATGTTTAGAAATTTGCAAAATTTAATCTTGCCTAGTTACTTTTTTACGATGCTTGTTAAAAATGATTCGTTTGTTTCATGTTCGTATTACGATTTTTACACCAGCGTAAAAGCGCGGGCTTAAAAGCAACACCTGCGTTTCCGTAAATGCGTAAGTATCACGTCGTTAGCTCCGATTGGCTAGAACAAGGCCGACTGGTTACGGAGCAAACCGAACACTGAACTTTCAAACGTGTTTACCAATATGGCGTAACGACGTTTGAATTTGATCGTTACGTGACGGCACACTGGAAAAGTTTGTGATACATATATGAAACTTTATCATTTTCGGGCTATACTAAGCATTACGGTGTAGAAAGTTATTTTGCCAGTCTTGGGTTTCACGACAGGCATTCACTATGGAGAATTTCGTGAAGATAGAAAAAATCGGTGAAGGTGAATGCTTTTGGATAGTACTTCGCAGGTTGTGCGTTTGTAATTAGTGTTTTCCTTGATGTGTTTTTCGAGACTTCACTCGATTGTAATCAGAAAATACTTGGTATAAATTAATGTCAGAACGTAATCGATTGATCTTTAATTTATCGCAATCGATTATAATGGTTGTAAATTTTGTTGAGTCTATTTTTGATCGAGGTTATTGAAAGATGAATATTTCTGAAATCGATAATTTTAAGATGGCCTTCTTATGCTGAAAAATAATTGTTCGGGAGTACATCTGTATTTCGTTTGTATAATGGAAGTTTTCATCATTTTTATTGTTTTATGCATTATAAGAAAGCATGTGAGGGTAGTACTACAGTGAACAATTTTCACAGGTACCTATGGAGTAGTGTACAAGGGAAAACATAAGAAAACTGGAGAAATTGTTGCTATGAAAAAGATCCGTTTGGAAAGTGATGATGAGGGAATGCCATCAACAGCAATTCGTGAAATCTCTTTGCTCAAAGAATTACCACATCCCAACATTGTTAGATTGATGGATGTGCTAATGGAAGAAACTAGATTATATCTTATTTTTGAGTATCTTACCATGGATTTAAAGAAGTTTATGGATAGTTTGGGTAGTGGGAAGTTGATGGAACCAAAAATGGTCAAATCTTATTTATACCAGGTTTGGAATTATTCATGATGTATGAAATGAAAGTTATCATTGTGTATTGGTCATACATAAATTGTTTTGTAACAAACAAAAACCTTTACACAAAATTGATTTTAAGTTTAGAATGTTTTACGAAAGTTTAAAATAATTGTGCCTGATTCTATTTCAGATTACACGTGCTATTCTCTTCTGTCATAAACGTAGAATATTACATCGTGATTTAAAGCCCCAGAATTTATTGATTGACAAATCAGGGGTGATTAAGGTAGCTGATTTTGGCCTTGGTAGAGCATTTGGAATACCAGTCAGAATATACACACATGAAGTGGTTACTTTATGGTACAGGGCTCCAGAAATTCTTCTTGGTGCTAACAGATACTCATGTGCTATTGATATCTGGAGCGTAGGTTGTATATTTGCTGAAATGGCAACCAAAAAACCACTATTTCAAGGAGATAGTGAAATTGATCAATTATTTAGAATATTTCGGTATGTTGTATACAATATATCAAATTATAACTTAATGGAACATGAAATAGTAATAGATCACATTTTATAGGATACTAAGAACACCTACTGAAGAGATATGGCCTGGTGTGACACAATTGTCAGATTATAAAGCCACATTTCCAAATTGGATAAGTAATAATTTGGAGTCACAAGTGAAAACGTTAGACGCGGATGGACTCGACCTTCTGCAATCAATGCTTATCTATGATCCTGTTCATAGAATATCGGCACGAGCTGCCTTAAAACATCCGTACTTCAATGATTTGGATTTATCAAAATTGCCATCAGCATAATGTGGAAAAATTGTATGAAATGATTGATGTATATTTCTCAGATTTTGTGACGTTTTAATTGTGTGATTACATAGAGAATATGTCTCAGGGTATATATCAAAACGCTAATTTATTCACATGTATAAACACATTTAAGCTTTCTTTCTCTTTTCTTTTTTTTTACTTTGCTGATTGCATATGAACAATTCATGTTAGGAATTTTCATTTTTGCATTGAAACGATATTACATTCAAACAGTGCATAGAAATTTTGAAATGTGTATTGTGATAAATCATACTCCAACAAGAAGCATTCCGTTGTAATTTGATGATCGAGTGATTCATCTTCACTGCATAAAACCGGGTAAACTCGCTAATGATATATATTCGTTAGAATTCACTTCATCTTTGCTTTCTTCTATACTTATCACTTGTATGATCTGAATCAAAATGTGAAATTGTAAGTGCCCTTAGATATGCTTCTACCGTCGTAAATCGAATAGGAAAATTATTTTTTCACCGTTTGTAGCATATCATAAGCATTGTACTTGTAAGAGAGGAAGCACACTTGGTACTATTAGTTCAACTGAGGATATGCCTTTACTGCCATGTGTACATATCACCGAGAAATTCACACGCTTATTATAAAAAAATATATATATTTCTTTTGTACTTTTTATTCGGAAATAAATGATGATATTTTATTCGAGTACATCCCTGGATGCCGACCTCGAAGTAACTTCGATATTTACACCATTGCATATTCATCACTGATATCGCAAATCTTAAACTGTGTACTCGCACTGTTATTTTTTCTATATTGTGACGTTGTATTTTATCGCATAATGTGTAAATTAAGTTATATTACTACGGGTAAAAAGAAGGAAACCGTATGTGGTGCAGGCGATTCTGAGAACAACCAACTTGATTCGTTTACGGATGAAGATGATTCATCGTGAGCAGTGGTGTAACAAAGTCATTAGGTACCCGCACCTTCGTTTCTTTTTATATAGGCATAAACCAGCCGGCTTTTATGAGCAAAAATGTGTATGAAATCTGAATATTTCCGTCTCGTTCTTTGTATGTCATAGACTATCAGATAATGAGGTATTATTTAAATGATAATAAATTTAATATTATATGATATCACACATTTAAAATTATTTTATATTTTAATAAAAGATAGTAAAAGTCACACCTTGTTATTTTTAATTGTTTCTTAAGACAATATAATTTAATAGTATTTAGTAGTAATAGTGCACTATGTAGTATAATACAAAAATATTACCCAAAGTGTTCCTTATTGTCTCAGTGATTAGCATTTTGATTTTGCATTACGATGTAATAAAGAAAAATGATCTACTTACGTGATAGGTAGCAAAAGAAATGGATTCATTTCTCTGAATTCTTTGAGAAGAACGTGTTTGATCGGGCCACGTTAGCCCATTCTAAGTGTGCGTGACCCGTAATTGGATTTAGAGTGGGGCACATCTTATAAAATCCTTCTCCATTGAAGCTACTGTTTACAGTACCAGTTCAGAGACTGATGACGTCGTTTCACAGTGAGTATGCTCTTTGACATACGCGTTACATTTTCTGTTTATACAACTATTGTACATCGTAAGGGTCAACGACACTGACAAGTATATTTAATTAGAATTCACAAATATTCATATACTTCAAAACGGTTACTTTCACATTACACATTCATCGAATACACTGATCGAATACGATAATCGACTAAGTAAATTTTCCCAATTTTTCATCATTTATTACTTAAAAAAAATTAAAATCATCGTAGAAGAGTATCACAGTTCTTTTGTCATTCATTTTTTCTATGTCATTATTTCGTGAAACATATATTTACAAACCATTGCATAAATCAGCACTCCATGCTGACTAATTCAAGCACCACCCGTTATATAGCGCAAGATCGCTCTTTGCTTCGGGTCCAGAAAGAGTGATTCTTATCGTTAGCTAAATTGTGCATATAGAGGCACTATATTTCCTCCTAGTTATATATAAGTATATATAATTAGATATTATCTTCTGGTGTCTTGTAAATAAAGATAAAACAGCGACCTTGCACGTCGTGATCATTGCACCATGGAATTTCCACTCGATGAAAATTTTCTTTTCAGATGAAGATATTATTCACTATAATATTCCTGACGGGATGCTTTGTCCTCGCCAGATCACACACGTACCATTTGGGCGACTGCCCGCTCGTCGAGCCTGCGAAAGCATTTGAAATGAGCAGAGTAAGGAGGAAAAAGCAATAAGAAGAAATGAATTTCTCTATAGTTTTCTAACGATAAATCAGAATTATTTTCTGTATTCCAAAGTTTTTAGGTTTGTGGTACGTGATCCAAAAAACGTCTACAGCAAGCAAATGCATCACTTACAATTACACTCGCGATGAGGAGCCTGGAGTGTACATATTAACGCAAGTTTCGGATCATCCGATATTAGGTACGATATTCATGGAAAAATGAATCTGTTAACTGGGTTCACTTTTTGCTCAGAAATTAAATCTCTTCAATGTGGAATTGGACTACACCTATGAAGTGATAATAACGAAGAAAATAATTTAGAAAACCACTATGGACGCAAATTACGATGTCTACATATATGCGTATATAGAATACACGCATTGTATAAAATACACGAATGCCTTCAGTTTTTTCGTCAACCGTTTGGTGTCGATATCATTGCTAGATACACGGGGCCGTGATTTCTTTGTCTGTGCAAAGTATGATTCACGGCGGTTACCGAAGAATAGTCGGGGCAAATGTGCCGGTTAATCGGGCATTCTGGATAATCGGAACTCTACTGTACCTTCTTTCTATCGAGTATTTCCTCAATAAATAAAAAGTTGTATTTTAAATACTGATCTGTAAATATGTATATAGTAGAAGCAACGCAGAGAGATGATAAAAGAGGGGATCTGACTTTCCGTCTGTGAGTAATTCCAACAATAGTCGACGACGACACAGCGAAAAGGGCAAAATTTTTCTTTTGTAGTCGTTAGCGTGGTGTGCATATATTGTTAGAAGCTTTTTGAATTAATAAACAAGGAGAACGTCGGATCCCATCGGGACTCATAAAAGCATGTCAATAGGATAACTGTCTGGCAAGTGGGATGAATTATCCGTAATGAAGCGACGTCTCTATGCGCAGGTCTTACGCCATTGAAGCACAGATATCATTACACCGGTGAATTGACCGTTCCGGAACCAAGTACACCCGCAAGAATGGAAATTCGCTTTCCCCTGAGTAAGTACATGTTTGTGTGCAAAATTAAAGGAGCAGTAAATTTCGACCGAAAAATTGTTGATCTTTGAACCACTGTTTGAACGCACTAAACACAAGCACGAAACGCACACAGTGCAACCTCCGCGTAGTGTACCTGGGGTACTCCAATGCCGGCGGTACACTTTTCATTTAAAGTGCGATAAAACAGTGAAAAAAAATCATACGTTAACTTCTTAGAGATCGTTGTGAAGGGGAGACGTCCCTTTACAAAACCATCTCAAAACGAATATCCCAAAAAATTTGTTCAACTTCGTAGAGTCGTTTGAATTTGTAAAATTTGAAAAGAAAAAAGTAACTTCTTCCACTCGTTTCTGCAACAAAAAGCGATTTTCGAAAAGATTAAATTAAAGGTAGTGAAATTAGAGGCTTCACGCTTTAAAATGAGCCAAGGTAGACTTCTGTACAATTCTTTTTTGTAGCGTATTATGATCATGGTGGATGAAAGATGGCCAAGGATGAATCGCTTCTTATCCCTTGAATGATCTGAAGACAGATCTGTCTTGTGGAGGATTATTTGTAATTGTTGGAGGAATTATGATACGTAGAAGCATTGGACGTTAGAGTTTAAGGGGAATTGGTTCTGTCATAGGCAAACGAAGATATAGAAAATATAACAAAAAAAGATGTGATTTAATTAACCTTTTAAAATTACTTTTTTAAAGAATTTGTAATAGATACTAAATTAATGCTCGACTACTCAAATGGAACGCATGCATTCCTCTAATCGCGAAAGAGTTTAATGGGAGATTTGCCGATTGGATTATTAAAAAACAGAATGGTTAAAAACGCAGAAAATATGAAAGCTTATAAAACAACGAGAATATAACTAATGAAAAATTCCATAAAATACAAAAAACAAAGAAAAAAATTCCTCTGCAGCAAAACTAAATTTTTTCCCCAACCTCTACATCCTCCGTGCCAAATTATCCAATGGCATCCAATCGTACCTAATCCCTTAAGAAAGAAAGAAATTTCTAAAATAAATTGTTGCTGTATAAAATAATAAAATTTGGTAAATTCTACCAATTAATTTTCAAACTTCCTTAATTATTCTTAGTTCCATGTAAATAAATTTTGCAATACGTTCACAGACCTAATCGGAAGTGCGTCTCACGTGGTGGTCTCCACGGACTACCAGAACTACGCGGTCATTTTCACCTGTCAGAAGTTGAAGTTCTGGAACCGTCAGAGCTTGACGATCTTGTCCAGGAATCGAGACTTAGACAAGACGTACTTGATCAGGATACGCGATATATTATCTTTCTACGGAGTGGGTCCGTACGGTCTGAGCAACATCCCTCAAACCGGATGTCCTCATGGTAACAACACGTTGGACATTAACGTGGATCCAAACACTTTCACGGCTGAGAATATTGAAAACGTGGTTCGTAAGGCTGGACAGAAATTATGCGACGGTGTTGAATGGGTGGTTAGTGCAGGAAGCAAAGTGTACCATAAGATAGCCGGAAGCGAGGAGAAAGAAACGAGGAAACCAGAGGCGAACAGTAGATGAACCATGACGAAAGGCTACGAGAATAGCGCAGTCGAATGGTTACCTTAGATTGTAGCTTTAAGACGCGATTCGATTGTTTGTTTTTTTTACAATTTAACCTTAGTGACGATGAATATTTATTTTGTTTATACTCATCGAGAGAATATTCCTTTTTTCGTATAGACAAGTGATATTTGTACACTGCAATAGAAATGAGGTAGAAGACGTAGGGGGAGAACCAAAGACTATGTAACTAGAGCTACGATAATATTTTTACGTTGATAACTTTTGCAAATAGAAAATGAACGTTGTCGACTTGTAATCTCCGAGACGAAATAAACAGATTGTGCAAGCGTAAACGCAGAGTGTTTCTTTTCGTATCCAATTATTTAAAACGAAAGAAAGAAAGAGAAATCGACTAAAAAATTATTGCGCTTTAAAAGGATTAAATCTGCGAGTAGAAAGTATCCAGATTTAGCCTCTGCGTAAGTCTACCAATTAATTTCCAATCTTCCTCAATCGTTCTTAATTCCAAGCAATAAACTGTCACACAGTCGACGTTTTATAAGGAAAGAAAATTGTATTGCCTTCGATTGGCTTGCATTGAGGGATAGTAACACGTTCTTCAGAATTTAACAGTTTTCAAAAAATCCAAACGAAAAAGGATATCCTTCGAGTACTGTCGATATTTCTCTATAATTAAGTATCGCAATGTGACTTGGTAATTTCTTCCAAAAATTCTGTAAAAAACTTTTAATTCTTTCGGATGGATTAAAACACATTGTGGAACGATTGCAAAAATCTCCGATCGAAGGAAGAGTACCGCGAGAGCGTGACTCCTGCAACCGCGCGCCGGCGAATTAATCCGATCTATTTACAACCGACGAGTTATACTCTTCTATACGGTTGCAAACATGCGGCGTATCTCGTGATTCGGAATCTCCCCCGGTGTAATCTGGACCACGGGTTCTCGTATATGTATGCCACGGAATATTAGTATCCTGACGACCCGTTTCAACGATCAGTTTGATAGCAACCGTTGAAGAGACATAGAGCGAATCTTTTCTCAGAAGAAAAGGACATCCTCATACAGCTACCCTGTGTGTCGAGCTCTCCACGTTTCTATAGAACATTCATTTCACAGAAAGGAGCGTTTATTGAAGGGACTTTGGCCATCATGAAGGTCAGTTGTTCTTCGTCTGATTTTTCTTTTTTATTTCTTGGTATAGAAGTCAGTTATTAGTTAAGTGCATACACAACTTATAATTAGGTATAAGGGGTGTTCTCAGCACCCTAGTTATTTGTAGGATACATTGTGTACCTTTCTTTTAAAAACCTATTTGTACCACAACCCAATACGATTTTTTTCAAAATTCAAAATTACTGCTACTTCTTTGATCTATCAGAGACACATGGAGCTATTTACAATAAAGAAAAAAAGATTTAATTGTTGAAACTGCTTCAAGTAGAATGGTGTCTTATCCGTGATCGCTAATATTCTTCTGTTCTGCTGAAGAATTACAATGCAGGGACTCGAGTCAATCTGACTCTCAGTTACAGATTTGTCCAATTTGTTATGAAAACAATAACGAGTAACATTTTCAAAATATTTCTCAATTTTATCGAGGTATAGTAAGTATTATGCAAAAGAATGAAAAAAATTCTCTGGGGTGTCGAAAACACCTTACAGTTATATTTTGTACTATCTAATTAAAGATTAATTTCCTTTTTTTCATTTCTTTCTTGGTATCGAGTTAGGTATTTAGAAGATTAGGGTGACTTTCTTAGCAGGCAATATTTAACGTCTCTTCTTTATTCGAACTTCGTTTTCTTCATTAAAACCTACATAAAGCACACTACTGTAATTCCAGGTGCGTACGTTCCAAGACGCATACATTATTCAAAATATGTATATTCCCTTTGGCAGGGAATTACGTGCGTGGAATCGATAAGCGATATTCCCGAAAAAAAAAAAGAAAGAAAGAAATACGCGCCTTTAAAATCGCGCGATGCTTAAGTGCGGCATGCAAAAGGAATCTTTAACAATTGTAGAAAAGCATGGAATTGTACCGGCGATTGTATCACGGGCAAATTGAAAGGAAATACCTTTGCGCGAAATTGTCCCTACCATTGAAATTTGTAATAGTAGTAAAGTAAACATATTTGGAGTGTATGGTAATTGTACGCGCCGGAACGTTTATAGCTGAACTATCGGGCAATTAGCTGCTGGATCGTTTAACAATTCAGACACGTGAAACTTTTTCACGGTGGTCTTCCGCTTTGAAATTTCACGATTTCATCCCTGATTCATCCAAAATCTCGAGGATTCAGGGATCGATGACCCTTTCCAATTTAAATGCTCGAACTTTCCGCGATTCGCAGGTGTACATTTTCGAAATCTCGACAACGACAGTTGACAGAGTATGACAATAATTTGACGCAACTCGTAACGCTAAGAAAACTGTTACGTAACTGCGACAACTCTAAGACAACTCAGACAATTCTGAAACAACTCGTACCAACATTCCCTGTAACTAACACTAACTCTATCTCCAAGAAAAATCTCTTCCTTCGCATTCTTTCTCTCCCACTGTACACGCACGCTATTTCTATTTTTGTTTCTATTGAAAATGGTCAACGCATCGATGGGTCTTGTGTATCATCGAGAGTTTCCACGATTTGTGTCTTTATCGACCCCCCACTTTCTCATTTACAACCCTCTTCCCGTACCTCTTAAAACTACCTAAATAAGAGGCGAACATTTGCACGATACTATTTCAATATACAATATGTGATCCATGGATGAAGTATTAAGCGACAGCCAAGTCACTCTGTCGAGGGGCTGTTGCGCACTGCAGCAGCTCGAGTCGCGTTGCGGTTTCGGGGGTGCGCAGCCAGGGGTGGGGGGGAAGCACTACTGCCCACCTACGCGCACCTTGTTCCTTCTTCCAGTGAGTTTCGCGTTATTCCCTCGACTCGAGCGCGTGTGGTCTCGTCCACGTCTCTTCCAATCGGTCCTTTTTAATCCATCATCGGCATACGAATCGCTGGTGATATACACTTGAAGAAGTGCAATTCTCATCGAGGAACCGGAACAGTTTTTGCCATTTAGTTCGATCGTGGAACACCGCGATGCACATGCTCGCCCCTGCACGTGCACGACTTTTCCACAGGGTAATTGATCGATTTGAGCGGCGCGTGCATCGCGTATATCGCGACCAACGATTCCATGGAATTGTTCTTGACGTCAGAACCACGGCTAATTCGCTAATTCCTCCAGCGTTCCCCGTGATACTTCGTTACGATGCACCACGTCGTGCTTTGTACACGGTTGTTTTTCTACAGGGTGGTTCAAAGAAATCTTGACGCTTATGTAGAAGTAAGATAAGCGATAACACGGTACAGGGTGATTCTCGGAACTGGAACAGGTCGTATGTCCCCTCTAACTGTAACTAGAAAAAAATCTTCGAGGAAGAAGATGAATGGTTCAAGGAGGACTACATTTGCAGGATCATATTTTTTTGCAAGTGCAACGATGAAATTAGAAAGGAGGGATGACTTGTCCCGGACGTATGAATCACCCTGTATGTCATATCATCACTTAGACGTTTCAGATTCGTTAGTACAAGATTATTACTATCTTTAGTACAATATTTTTGAAGAACGACCAAGTTTTAGTATTGACCCTAAGTCGTCTACTTTTAGTATACCACGGTTGCAAGGAAAACACGACTTCCGATACACTTATCCAGAAAACGTCAATTTTTCAATTAACCAATTTTAGTATTAAATTGTAGAAAATTATCACAAAAGTATTTCGTCTTCAAAGAGCCTCCACTTTACGATACATTCTTCGAATCTTCTTCTCCATATAAGTGTTGACACCTTTTTGAAACACCCTGTGTATCTAATCTTCTCAATCGACGTCCCTTGTGAATGAAACGTAGACGTGATACACAAGTTGTTCAGTCCATTGCGATCGTGTTGTTCCTACTTTACTCGATCTTGATAATTCTCCTTGCATTTCGACGAACGTTTACCAGCTATTTACTTCATTGTTTCGTTCAGTTTGGTAATAAGTAGAAGGAAGACGATCTTTTCCCAGCAAAGCACCTCGTGAGTAAAGATAATTGTTCGTGAATCGTCGACTTGAAAGGAAAGTAAGGGCAGTTCAAAAGTAATTTGACTAGTGTGGTTAATTAGGCTCGAGGAATCTCGACAAACTTAAGTGTCATCGTGGAAGCCTTTTACATACCTTGTGAACTGGCTACTTCAGTGAGATGGATATTAGACCAATTTTCGTGGAATAACATACATATGTTCCTACGGGATAATTACTATTACTCGACAAGTGTAGTTCTGCTACATTCAAAGTCTCTTTTCACAAAAGAGTTTCACGAGTGTTATACGCTCCACACGTTGAGCAGTATTATTTGTGATGAAGAAAAAATCATTCTGTATAATGCGTTAGGTATATCTAACTATTCCGAGAGATTCCATAAAATATTCCATAAGAGATTCCAGACTGAATAATTTTCTCTTAAGATCTTGATAATTTCCTAACGACTGCATCGATAATAATGAAAAATCAATAAAATCAATAATACATTTCAAAATCTTCATAATTTTCCAACGACTTCGATTTGCCTCACATTCGACAAATGTCTCAATACTTAGATACATACGAGACTGTAGTAAACAAAATCAGAACGTTTCTCCGCATAGAGCGGTGATAACGTTCAATCAGATGCGATATAACGATGATTTACGAGCGGTAACCCTCACAGATGGGTCATAGCGACACTTGACACTTGATTCGCCGGTTGATCATAGGGCTGTCCGGTGTGAATCGGTGCAGGTTCAAGAGACAAGTTCGTCAACGAGGCCTGCTAACCCAGATTCGTGGATATTTGGCACAATTTCGCGACGAGGGTTGGCGATTCGTAGCGCGAAGCTCGCAGGATCTCTCCCCGAATTGGGACGATCTAATCGCGTTAATTGAATGAAATTTCTATCAATCGAACTGGCTCTGATTAGACCACTTGAAAACATCACTCCTCGTAATTCTCGATTATTCTCAATTTATTCTCTCCATGAGCTTTTCACTTCTCTTGAATCTCTGTGCTTTTCGTGCTAAACAGATTTGACAGGAAAAAAAATTACTCCTCGTGATTCTCGATTGTTCTTAATTTATACCTACTCTCCACAAGCTTTTCAGTAAGTACCCTTGAATCTCTGTGCTTTCGATATTAGAACAGGATTGAATGGATCGAAAAGGTGAATTTTTTGTAATCCAGGTTGCAAATTGTTCAATTTTATCATTGATTCTCGGCGTCTGAAATTGTTTCCTCTATGAATCAATGCAGGTTTTCTGTTATAAGAAACTCTAGTTCAGAGTGTAATTTCTATTTCAACAAGTTGAACTTAAGGAATATTGCAAATGCTTCGCGATTCTTTTTTAATTGTATATCTTGTTTATCGTTGCTTTATTCTTCGTTCCTTTTTTCTTTGTTAACATTTCATTGATAATTCTCGTCATTTCTATGCCACCTCGAGTAATTTCTGGTGTTATAATAATGCAACGCAAGATTGCGAGATTAACCAGATTCGGTCTCGTTTCATCGCGAATTTTTAACTTAAATCGAACGTACCAATCACATAATATGGAATTTAAAGGATATCAGGAAAAGAAAATATTCCATAGAACTAAATCTTAAATTTACTATAAAAAATAGTATACTGTAGATCATTTAGATAACGAAAAGCTCGAACGCCAATCTCGAAACGCATTTAAATCGCGTAAATAAGAATTTCCCAACACTTGACATTCATTTTACGCAATCGTGAGAGAAAGATCGTCGCTGAAATTGGCACAGCATCGGTAGCAATTTACGAAGGTCACTTAAAAGTCGTTTAAAATCGTTTCGTATCGATCATTCAGAAGATCGTTCACCGCTCCTGTCGTGTTTCTTCTCTTGCTCATCTTCCACCATCTTCACGCTCTTTTTCGCGATTACAGCGTAACAGAGAGAAGGACAACCAGCGAGTAGCCTTCGACGATATATATTCTGTGTTCCTTATCTCACCCTGACCTTACCGGAGCCGTGGTTATCCTTGGATGATCTTTGGAAACGCTTCTCGAGAAAGCACCAGTCGCTTGGCGGTCCTCGGAGTCGCTACTTCGAATCTCTTCTCCTCTATTGGGTGGCAGATGTCGAGTGATCCTCGATTCGCGATCTATCCTAGAGAGATCTCCCTCTTTTTCCATGATTTTTCGCGGCTGAAACGAACGCACGGTGATCTTTAGTCGAGAATTCTTGAGTTTCGTGGAAATTGATGGCTTTACGGTAAAACTTTCAAAAGTGAAAATTCTTCTCCTTTGTATCAATGTCTGTGGCTCTAAGGAAATTTGGCTTTTCAAGGAAAGTTCTTGACGAATGTTCTCGTAAAAGCAGCTTGAAGAATCGCACAGTGGATGTTTTCGCGACGTCTTAATTTCTGCAAATCGACAGTAAGTGCTTTTGTATTGTCTCATTGCAATGAATATTATTCTATTGGGTGAATAGCTTAATGGCGGCAGGGGGAAATGAAATTGTCATTGATCCGTTGGATCAGAAATTAAGAGATATAGGAAACGTGAACTGAGAAAGTCTCTTTTACTTCTGTCGAATGCCGTTTCAATTGTAAAATAGAATTCGATGGATTTCAGAACGGGAGATCAATCTCGCGATCGTCATTTTTCTCTATTGTACAATAATTAGAGTTATGAGAATGAAAATTAGGTAAAGAGCAAACTGCACTTTTTCACGGAGGAAGCAGAAAGCCAAACGAAACACACACGGGTATTATTAAACTCAGAATGATCTATATTCAATAGAGGGAAAGGTAGAGAGATTCGCAGAAAAAAGGACACAGTTTCGCGAATGATCATCAGAGATTCAATCTTCGAATGTGCAAACTTCTAAATTCAATTCCAAATTGACCAATTCAATTATGAATTTCAAATGAAGAAAAATTCAAACACTTTTGTTAAAGTTTAAAAGAAATGCGATACTGAACAGAATTTGTGGAACGTTTGATCATTGTGTCAAGGATAAGGAGAGGAAAAAACTAGTTGATCATGAACGTCTGGCAAAGGAACGACCAAGGTAAATCCTCGTGACGAACACGATGATTCTGGTTGGAAAGGAATGCGTCATTCCACGACGTTTAATTGATCCTAACCCCCCCAACTTGCTCGTTAAAGCAGACCGGAATTCCTGCGGGGCAATCTATTCGAATCGCCGTTCAACGAGCAACGATTAATGCCCGATTAAGGAATAAAACGTCACGCTGTCCTGTCACGTAATACAATCAGTTTTCATATGATCCGCGTCGTCATAATGGAGAGGATTCCTCTGATCCTGAATCATGGGAACTCGTCAACCCTCCTAAGTTTTTCCAGTCATGGGGGCTTTGAACATGATCTGAAATAGAAAATTTCAGAATACAAAACAAGATTAGGGTGGCGTACAAGTTCCTGATACTCTTGCTTTTCTTACCACTCGAAGGATACGAAGGAAAATGTTTTATTCATTGCGATTTTTTCCGTTAAATGTGGAAAACAATTTCACGTAAATAAGTGTTTTCTTCTTGATGGACCAAATATGTTTTACCATTGCTCGCACATTTTTCATAACGTTTTCGCAAAGTATCGGCAGTTTTTTTATAAATCTGTCAGAGTTTTTTGCGCCACCCTGTAGTTGAGATAAAAAGAAGAAATTCAGGTGGAGGGATATCGTTCGGAACAGTTTTGTAAGCGATAGCTTTAAATAATTTGCAATAGAAGTATTTTTGGAGTATGTTAAAATTACGCTAAAATTTTTTTCGCATTTTTAATACTATTTACTCAAGTGAAACTACGTTCAAAGTACAACAATACTGCGTGTTTGTACAATTCTAGCACGGAGTGCCTGAAAAGTTGAGAAACATTTGCGAATCCTCGTGTACGCAGTGTCCTCGATGCAAACGTTTGCATTATGACAAATGAATCGTTTGATCGACGAAGGGTTTCCTTTCCTCTCTATTGACAATCACTCTCGCAGAATCGAACGTGTACTCGAAGGAAAAGCAGGTTCTGCTTGTAACGAACGATGAAATCGACGGCCTTCGTGGTTTAACGAACGGTTCGATATTTCGGCGAGAAAAAAAAGAAAAAGGTAGAAGGAAAATTTGAATATGAACGTGAAATCGAGGCACATAAATATTCATTAACATCGAACGAATTTGTATACGCAGGACGTATGAATAACAGCGTGACGAAAGAAACCAAGGATAAAAAAATAAAAACTGCCAATTTGTTTTTCTTTTTTTTTGTTTTTCGTTAACGATAACCCTCGCGACGAAAAACTGTTAATATATTTTTGCCATTGTACTTTTGGCATTGTAGATGCTTGCTGTATTCTTGTTGCTCGTACAAGCACTATTTGGGGATGAAACTGAGGCTAGTGTTCTCGTAGCTGACACCACGATGTCCAGAATGGTGGAATTGAACGCAGACGCGCCCTTTTGTGCTTTATACACCGATCGTGGTGTTATACAGAGGATGGTTCTTGGGGCTGATCCCAAAAAAGTCCGACAAATGTCCAGTAATCTTGTGGCAGATCTGGAGGAGACGTGTAAAGCCTCTCGAGACAAAGGAAAGGTAGCGAATTACTTTCGAAATCGGGTTAATCCTTACTGGTTGAATGTTTGTGATTAAGTGGATTATGATTCCATCATATTTCGTCACTTTTATATCCTATATTCTCTAGATTTTACATATTCTACAGGGTGCTTCAAAAAATGTTAACAATTGTATGGAGAATTTTCTTTTCCCTGCAAAAGTCCCCTCAAGGTAATTCTAGTAGATATTATTTTGCAATACAAGTTCAACGACCTATTACATCATGACCTCGAACAGTAAGATATCAATGTCGATGTCTTGGAGTAATCTCTAAGATAATCTTGAGGGGACCGTTTATTTCATTCTCGTTATATGCACGCCTTCAAACCATATAAACTTCTTTTACTCATTTTTTTCTTACTTTCAATAGCAGCAGAAATAATTTAGACGTTTCGTTATAAGTGAGACACCCTGTATACTTATAGAGCCTATGTGTGCAAGCAGATAAAACTTGAATCAGTGCCAAGTAGGGCTGTACTCTATTACCAGTTCTATTTCTCTAAAACATCGTACTTTCTTATCAGTGTGAATATTCTTTCGAAACACCCTGTATATTTCATATTCTATGTTAGAACCAGCCACCAGGCGGAGGACTGATCTACCCAGGCACGAAATGGTGCGGACCAGGCACTCTGGCGACGTCGTACGACGACCTTGGCTCTCACAGAGCCGAAGATATCTGCTGCAGAGAGCACGACCATTGTCCCACCACGATAGCGCCACATGAGTGCATCCATGGCATATGCAACAATTCACCTTTCACACGGTCACACTGTGACTGCGACGCGAAATTCCGACGATGTTTGCAGAATCTCAACACGGAAGTGGCGAACACCCTCGGTGCACTCTTCTTCAACGTGATACAGGTGACTTGCTTCAAGGAGAGACGTCCATGCTCCCAGTGGCAGAGGTAGGTTCTTTCGTGCCATTGAAAAGACTTCTGTATCTTCTATGCCCTTTTCCAACCCTTCCATTCATTCAATTTGTGCATTTGCGCGTGTAAGCGACACTGCTGATCCTCGGTCCATTTCTCTAACACCACCTTAATATTTTATATTAAAATTTTTAGTATCTTTTGAAGTACTACTGGAACATGATTTTTCAAAGTTTTAGCATTATTTTACTCCATTCTAAAATTAGTCTTTTCATCGATTTTTCAATGTTGAAAGAATTCACAGCGAGTGTCTTTATTGTGACTCTTTTGGCAAGTCAAAGATATTGCCCAAGAGAGGCACAAGTAAAAAGAGTGCTCTCGAGGTGATCAATGATTAAACACGCTCTCTTTAACGATTACGTCATCGGCTCTCCTTAGTTGTACCCTGTATTGGACGAATTCGACGCGGTTCGAGTTCGACGAGTCTCCACGAGATTATTACGCCCACAAGGTTGTTCTCTTCAAGACGTTGCTCCAGGCGGTGCGCGACATCATCAAGCAGAAGAAACAGTATCTTCACAGCCACGTGTCACCACCTGTTAAACGTAATTTTGTCCACGATTAATGTTTACAGGTTGTTGGTGACGGTGTTTATGGGTCTTCAATGTTTCTTGAACAATCCTCAAAACCTTTCACAGTCTTCTTTAATCCTGAAAGCGTTCCCAAATCATTTGCGGTCCAAATGTTGAAATATCTTTTCTAAATTAATTTGTACAAACCGTTCACGATGGCAGCTATGGTACTTCCGTTCTCCAATGCTTCTCTAACAATCCTCAAAGCCTTCCACAGTCTTCTTTAATCCTGAATACGTTCCCAAATATTAAAGATATCTTTTTTCAATTAATCCCCATACACTCTGTTCAAGGTGGCTACTATGGTACTTCCATTTTCCAATGCTTCTCTAATAACCCTCAAAGTCTTCCACAGTCTTCTTTAATCCTAAAAGCCTACCCAAATCATTTGCGGTCCAAATGTTGAAATATCTTTTTTAAATTAATTTGTACAAACCGTTCACGACGGCAGCTATGGTACTTCCGTTCTCCAATGCTTCTCTAACAATCCTCAAAGCCATCCACAGTCCTCTTCATAAAATTCCGCTTCATGGAATTGATCGTGCAATTGTCTGGTTGATCTGTTACAGAAATGGTTACGCGGAATCGGTATCGAACCGGTTGTGCTCCCAGTACAAATTCCGACCAAGCGACAAGTACGTGCCGCTGATGCCCCTGAACGTGAACTAGCTATTACGGAAACGCAAGAAGAACGGACCAGACAGCCTTTGAAGTGGTGCCAGTTAACAGAGTACCAATGAGCGAGATAATTGCACGCGCCTCAGCCGCGTTCCTCGCGCTCCCTTCTCTTTCTTTTCAACGCTGTCCCAACATTATCTGGGAATCGAACATCACGTTCTTTCCCGGTCATTCATGAATTTACATCGTTACAGGTCACCGTTTCCTCTGGAATGCCATTTTTTACCTCGATTTCACTAGCTACAGAGAACTATCATTTTCTTTACCCCTTTAACCTGTTAACTGGGTTCATCTCGCAAACAGAAATTAAATCTCTCTCCAGTTTGTAATTAAAAATGAGGAAAAATTACAACCAATTACCATACTTTGCCTCTTGAATAAATAGATTATTCTGTTCTAAATATTAATGAACCAACGACTACTTAACCCGTCTTCCACAGTTAACAGGTTAACGTGTAAGCATAAAATTGGTTCTCCTAATTATTCATTTAAACGTTTCGGCAAAATATTTTCCTTTTTAAAAAATTCCACATTTTTCTCACAATTTTCTGTAAACGTGAGAAATTGTTTTTCTACGTTTGTTCATATTTTGCATTCCCAAGTAGCGATGAAAATTTACTCGAGAGCATTTTCTTATGTTCGAGCGAAATTAAGAAAAAATGAACCTCGATTGCAATTAAGAAAATTCGAGTGCAACCAGAGGAACAAACGGCCCCTGGGAACGGTCAGCCTGAGAAAGAGAAACGGCTATGTAAATGTCACAACACCTGTCGGCCTTGCAATTAAGCAAAGTGCAGCGAGCGCGGGCTGAATTGTTGCGTGCTGTCGTGAAAAAAATGTATTCTGCCCTTTGTTCCGAAATTGTTTTGCAACGAAGTTCAGGGATAAAAGAAATATATATCGTGCAATGTCCGAAAATATCCTCGCGTAAGGGATGACTGGCGTGTAGTTCGAAAGAGGAGATCGTTCGTTTTCGTGGGTGTCGCGTGCAATCGTATCGAAACTGTGCCATTGATGAAACAATTTACAAATCACTGCTCAATATTACTCTTTTAACGTGTAGGCAACTTTAAATGTAACGTTTTATGTGATCAACCTTCTGATATTGCAATCGTATTACGAAAATTACCGATTACGATAAATGCGCAGAATTGAAAGAAATTTCTCTTCTTTGATTTCTTTTACTGTTTTTGGTCAATTTAAATTGAACCAAAGGGAATGCATTATCGAAGAATTGTCGATTGAAGGAAGGTTGCAAATGGGAGGTATATCACTGAAACAAGGTTCGTGTTTCTTGCATATCATTCGTCGCGTTTTGCTGCCGCGCTAATGTGCATGCAGTTGCATAATGACGCGTAGCATTAGCCACGATCCTCTTTAGATTAAGATTTTCCATTGAGTCGACGGGGAAGTAGTTAAATTTGTCGAAAGTAAAAACAAAAATTATCACCGCAAGTGTCGACTTTTAGTAATCAAACTGAAATTCCAGATGTAATGTTAATTTTTCTTTTCTCTGTTTCGTTCTCTTTTTTGAAAGTGAAGTTACTGCCTCGTCAACTCGATGGAGTCGCAACGTACCAATGAATTCCACAAGGTTTACGATTTTCTATCCTCTTTGATAGCTTAGATCATCGAACAACGAATCTCTATATAATTTACAGCATTTTTAGGTCGTCCAGAAAATTCATTGCAAGTTCTTATTAGCCTTGCGACAAATATTTGAAGGTAAAGAAAAATGATCACGTTGCTCGAAATAATTCGTAGACACTTGCTCGGACAGTCTTATCGTTTATACAGGGTGTTTCATTCGTAACTGAAATTAAATTCAACAGAAAACTTGATCTTACTGATTAGAGAAAGCAGAGTAAAGCAGAGTGGAAGCATGAAAGATACTTCAAGGTCAACTTTCTTTTTCAGTGTACACGATACTTGGTGAGTTCAACGACTGAGTTTGACTCTATGTATATCTAATATCTTGGATGACTGTACGTGATAGGCCAGTGAACTCTGAAAATAAGATTAACCTTCAGATGACCTTGCTATGTATAGTTTCACTCAGACTATATTCACTGTATTCCTATGTTTCTCGTTATATTTACTTTACTCTCATTCGAGATTGCTGTCCAATTAATTATTTCGAACAACGTGTAACAATAAATGAAAAATAGAGAGAATTAGAAGAACCAAAATGGCGACGACCCAGCACAATCTTTACTGTGATGGAAATTACTCAGACGTAAGCTTCGCTATATAGTTTAAAGTAGATATTAGAGGTATGTTACAAGCAACCGTCCGTTATTTGGCTGTCCAAATAATCGATGCAACCTGGAGAGAGAACCGGAAGTCGAGGATTATACGGATTTTGTAAATATCTCGAGAAGGTCAGCAGCCGGGGGAACGTGCAATCGATCCGAGTGTGCCACATTTACGTGAAGAATACTTCAGTGACATTTTGTTTCCTGAAGACCTTCGATTGACCAACGGTTCAATGGAATCTCGAGAATTCGAAGGAGATTGATAATGTCAGCTCCAAGAATATGCGTATTCTTTACGATTACCTTTTCTTTCTAGCATAGTTTTTTGCTTTCAAAGAGCATAGTACAATTATTAGTTTTACAAATATTATCATATATAGACATATAA